AAGGAAGTCATCATCGAAATTTGTCTGTCATCTATATTGTCCAAAATATATTTCATCAGGGCAAAGAAATGAGAAATATTAGTCTAAACGCGCATTATATCGTATTGTTCAAGTCACCAAGAGATAAACAACAAATTTCTATACTTGCAAGGCAAATAAACCCCCGCAAAGTACAAGAGTTTATGAGGAGTTATGAAGATGCTACGAGCCGGCCTCACGGATATTTGATGTTGGATTTAAAGCCGACAACAAGTGACCAAGATCGACTCAAGACAAACGTACTTCCCGGCGAGATTGCAAAGTTTTTACACAAACAGTCGTATCGTCAACCACCACTTGCAAACGCAATGTATGATGCCGAACAGAGAATGAAAGAAATCATGGATGCACCACAGCTTAGCGCAGTGGAAAAAAGCAAATTATACTCTGATCAACTAAATCGATTTTTGACATTCAAAAATAAGATGGATGTTCCGACTCAAGCTCCTGTTCAGACAACTCCACTAGTGCCTGCGGAAATACCACAACCCAATGAATTTGTTGAGATAGCACCAGCAGTGCCTGCTACCCCTAAACCTAACTTCCTTACACCACCACCAACAGAAGAGGAACGGCCAAAACTCAAGCACAACTTTTTCCACAATTGGGTAGACTCTACAGATTGGAGGCCCCAAGATTTGGCAATGATGACCCCTGAACAAAGAGAAGGTTACGAACAAAGATTACTTCGCGAGAGGCCGAAATATATTCCAATGAAGGATGAAGACGTTGCAAAGTTATCCCCAGAAGATAGACAAGAATATGAGAACTCTTTAAAAATAACAAAAACACCTAGACGTTACGCTCTTAGAAGTAGACCGTACTAAATTTTGTAAAACGTTTTGAAGAAATAAATTTAAAAACTAAAATATTGTGTAATTTTTGCCGGAAAAGCCCGCTCTTTCCGCCCGCGCGATCCGCCCGCCTGATTAGTATACAAATACGTTGTACGTTAATATATGCATGCACCCGCAAAGCCACGCGCCTGATTTTAAGGTATACACCTGCGTTAAAAATAATCCCTATCTATCCATCGAAATACACTTAGTTATGCAAATTCGTATTGCCTTAATCCACCTAATTACCTACACGCCTCCTAATGACTTAGCAACGCATAACAACGCAGCAAAGTTTAAAACATGTTTCTTAATACAAATAGTAGAGAAAAAATATTACAACTAAGACTGTTAAATTGTTCTACAGGTTTTTTCCTTCAAGTATTCTATCTGACTCGGTCATCTTGACCGTATATATGTATGTAGGTTTGCTAAATAATGTTGAACAACATGCAAATAGCAATCATAACAACGGCTTTGACAACCCGGGATTAGCAACTGTTTATTTCTGTTGCGATATTTTTTATTTCTGTTTGGAAACTTATTGCTCAAAACGAGCCATCAAAATTAATTGCGTGTTGAAAATAAGAGAGAGACTCACAACGTTGCTACATGGCTGTAAAGCAAAAAATATTCTACCGTACCGGGTTCGAACCGGTGACCTAAGGAATACTGATTGGTAATAACTACAGTCCTTTGCTCTACCAACTGAGCTAACGGTAGGTTTTAAAAAACTAACTTTTATTTCATACTTTTATACATGCAAACTATGAGAAACCTCTTGTCGTTTTATTACAAATTTGTCAGAAACTAGTTGTAATGCTAATCGATCGCCTGCCGCAGTTGGCCCATGCCTGCCCGCGTTAATTGGTCGCGCTACCTGGCCCAGTTGGGCCAGGCCTGCCTGTGTTAATTGGTCGCGCTACCTGGCGTTACAGATTTTGCAAGCTCATTATAAAATCCGCCAGATTGTTAGCCGAACAAAGTGACGTCATAGATTTTGGAAGCTCATTACTTTCGGAGCAGCGTGACGTCATTGGCGGCATCCCTTTGTACTCCATATGGGGGGGTATCACTACTAATGAGAATATGATATCACTTTTCTAACTGTGTTTATTCTAACCCACCCTGCCATATTTTGCCTTGTGGGAAGAAACCAGAGCAAAATATAAAATTCAATTACCTTGAAAACACCTAAATTGCAATCCCTAAAATTTAGAATTTTCTCCTAAATCGCCTTAAATCGCCTAAAATCGCATTATATCGCAGTGCTTGAAAATCCCAGTTTTTCCTTAAATCGCCTAAAATCGCCCAAAATCGCATTATATCACAGCGATTTAGGGCGATTTACCGCCCCAGAGTAGGCCTCCAAGCAGACTGTTGGGCAGCTTGGAGGTTTATATGTCACGCATATTGATATAGATCTCAATTTGCGGTTTTGGACTTTAATCCAGAGCTGTTGAAAACCTGTATCAGATGTTGCAGTCAATTCCCTAATGTCATGGGCCTTAAGACTAGTATGAACTTATGCACACACGCCCCCGCCAGATTTCCTTAAACGATCGTGTCTTATGAGATTATAGCCTTCTATTTGAACTTCGGCATTTGATACATTAGAATTCAGCCAGCTTTCTGATACAGCAAAAATCTTATATTGGTTATTCAGAATAAGTTATTTAACTTGAACAATGTGTTCCCTGTTCTTCAAATAACGTACATTAAGATGAGCTATAGTAATATTTTTGCCCCGGCCCGATTGTGGCAAACTTTGATCTGTCTGAAGGGTAGTAGATCTACCTTGCATTGGAATATTAATACGACAACTTGAACGGCAAGCTTGCTTAATATGTTTCTTTTGACGATATCTCGAGTTTGAAATAATTGTTGGTATAGCCATATGGTTAACACATACAAGTCGTCTAGGGGATTCAATCCGCCTAAAACGATTGACATGATATATTGTACCTTGTTGATTGCGTGTTCATAGAGCATGACTGGCCTCGAGTACAACTTGACTTGTCCAACTCGGAAATTCCGCTACAAATTTGAGGTCCAGGGTTTGATGAAACATCTACACACACTGTTAGGTCCGTCTTAAAAGGCTTCGTACTAAGCACCAAACTTATGGGTCCATGTTTCGTTAGTTTAGCAACAGCAAATGGGATTTTAAATTTCGACTCGAGCATAACTCGTTGTATAATACTAACACAATTATGCCACATTAGAAATCTTGATATACATCATCATTTTATTCATAGTTTAATTGGCTTCTTCCCCCTTACTTTAATAATAATTCTTAATTTGCGTATTTTAATTGTTGCGGACAAGCAGCGAAAACGTATCTTGGCTGAAACTGCACTGCCCGTTACAACTTCCAATGGACAATCTGCAAACAAAATGTCGACCATTCGTTTTTTCGCGCTCTTAAAGACGTCAAGACATTTTCTATTGTTGTGGTAGTGTTGGTTTTCTGTGTCTTAACTCCAAATGTGGTTGGGGCGGTGCTACACAATTCTTGTGACGAGTCTTGTCGACAGATATGGTTCGTTGTTTTTCACTATGAATTTTATGGAATAAACTCGATCGTGAATGCTAATTTCATCTATGGAATGAGACATGTGAAATACGGCAAAAGTTATCGACATATTCTTTTTAAAATACTTCGCTGTAAGAAACTCTGAAACAGATCGAGGATGCTGCCTCACAACTCACAAAAATATAGCTTTGCCTTAGTTACCGCGCTTGTGCAAATATATTAATTAAGAAGAAAGCAATAATATATTAAACATGCACCGCTGGCACTCAATGGAGCCTGCTTAATTATGGATGATTAGTGCAATTCTAAAATACTTTAACAAAATACACGTTTTAATTTCTGATGAAATGAATTGCTATATTCAACTACGTCGGACCACGATTTTCCAATTTGCGTTCAAATCATCGACGCGCAACCGCACAACCGGAGCTTCAAATCGCCGGCACGAACTCAAGACAATCACGTTGCAGCACGAACTGCCGCCTGCACCAACCGCACGACGACAACAGTCTGTTTCATACTGATGATTCCTATACGGATGAAACAGACTGTTGTGGTTTTTTTGAGGTGAAACGAAAAACTATATTATAACGCTCCATCTGTATCTGTATTGAGCACCGTTTGTACGTATTTCGTAAACCAAAAACTTAAGCTATATATATAAGACCCTGCAGCTTAGAACTAACTTACAAACTACAAGACCCCTAGAACTAACACCGCGGAAAAACGTCTGCGCATGCACCAAATTATGAAAATATGGCGGGGAATTTGAATATCAATTTCTAAAACAAAAACATGCTTATTAATTGGTCAAAAATTAGTAAAATAAACGAGAAAATATAGCAAATGGGTAGACTAGACATTAATTGAAAGCGTCCTGGCATTTAAAGAATGGAATGAAATATAATTCATGTAAAAAATTGTTGATTTTAACGGACACGACTTCGAAAATATTTGCAAAATTATTCAAAACAAAAATTCAAACTCAAAAGTTAAGAAAACTCTCGAAAAGTTAAGCTTCTTAACCCACTCAAATTGTAGAATAAATCCAAAAGTTTATTTATTGTGAACACGAAATTTTTTTATATTTGGCGACACAGTTTTTTTTAAAGAAATGTATCTCAAACGAAAATTCGGAAATTGTCGTTGCTTAGTTGATAAACAAAATGTTTTACACGATAAATTTGTCAACAATCACCTTTAGTTCATGTTCTTGTACAATACAATTTCTTGAATCTTCTGGCTGTATTTATTCCTAGTTTTTAGAATGACATGTTTATTTTTGCGCTCGAAATCTAGCTGTAAAGACGCACAATGAAGTCACTCCTTTTTACCGCCATTTTGAGCCTTCGGAAACGTTCGGAACAGCTTCTCATCAAGTTTGCAATACTATTACAGGTAAGGCTGACGCATGCGCAGACGTTTTTCCGCGGTGTTCCTAGAACTAGCTTTCATATTACAAGACCCTTAGAACTATAACTTTCGATGGCCATCTTCAAGACCCTTAGAACTAACCTATAGAATTACCCTATTTAGGTTTACTTAATATTCCTGGCTGAATTTCTTGGTTATTATATCTTCCTTCCCACCATTGTGTGTCCCCTGCTTGTTATTCATATCAGTCAAGTCAACCTTGTTATTCATATCAGTCCAGTCAACCTTGGTTATTGTATCTTCCTTTCGACCATTGTCTGTCCCCTGCTTGTTATTCATATCGGTCAAGTCAACCTTGTTATTCATAACAGTCCAGTCAACCTTGGTTATTATATCTTTCTTCCGACCATTGTCTGTCCCCTGCTTGTTAATCATATCAGTCCAGTCAACCATAGTTTGGTTAATTCAAACAGGACGTTCCGGTCAAAACAAGATCTTTGTTTAAATTAACCAGATTTAGATTAGCTTTAATATTCTTTGTTCAATTTCGAATTCCTAGTTATTTTATCTCACTTCCTACCATAGTCTGCCCCCTGTTATTCCACCTAACATAATCTGCCTAATTCAAACAGGACATCCATGTCAAAAATAACAATATTCCTGTTATTAGCGCGACTTTAGCCGACTTTGCTTGTCCATCTTTAGCCGACTTAGCCCGATTTTAGCCGACTTAAGGCGATTGCACGACTAATGTGCTTTATACTTGAAATAAATTAAAACTCAATTTTATAATTGTAAACTAAATTCTTCAGTGAATTTTAGAGGCTTAGTAGCAGGTTCAATTGAAATTTAGGGTCATTCTTCACGTGTTTTTTTTCGTGAAAGTTTTAAATATTTCACATCCGCTAAGCTTGCATGACGATCAGTAAAAAATTCAAAATTTGAAGAATTCTACAAGACGGATTTTCTGTAGTCATTATGTAGTCTCGAAACTTGCCGCAGACAACGTCCGTTCAAATTTTAATGTTATTCCTCTATCAACCACAAATCTTCAAAACAAAATCAGAAAAATTGATCGAAGGAGAAAAAGACAATGAAGAGCAAAGGTAGAACGTCATGGTTACCATGGAAACACTAACACTATTCCTTTTTGTTTGTATATCGACAGCACAAGATTGCTGAACTTTCCAGGAAACAATAATATTGCCCTTACATGGCATGAAAACGAAATTTATTGGACACATTGACAATGTTCTCCTGAACATTGCTACTTTTGTGTTTAAAGTATGTTGTCATGGCAACAGCATGCTTAGAATAAAGCTCAAAATTTGTCTTTTTCAGGTTATTTTAAAAAGTTCCTTCGGTGAAATTTTTTAAAACTTTGCATAGAAGATAATACTTGTATAATGATTTTTTCCCCTCAATTTAAAAAAATTAAATCGATACGTTTCTTAGAAAATTTAAAAAACGTCAAAAATCAATATTAAAAATTTTCCCTTCGATTTAATTTTAAGAAAAAAGGATATTGCACTTGTTGTACCGATATTAAAAAATGTGCAAAGTTTTAAAAAATTTTACCAAAGGAAAACGGAGAAATTTGGGTTTAATATTAGCAATTTTTACTAGGTTTTTACGCGAACAATTTAATACCCCAACTGACGTGTACATGCATTCTGCATAAAACAACAAGGCATGACTTTTTTGAAATCACAAAATATAAATTATGTTCGATATACTGTTTATAACTGTGTCGGTTAATGGTCAACTAAGCGTGGATTATACATGTAAAAATGGCAAAGATATTAGGTAATTACTGGTTATGACTTCTTGCTATTAATTTGAAAAATAATTGTCAAAATTCGTCCCGTGCGAGTTAGTACTATCGTCGGAGGTTTTCGCAAAATGCCCGTTCAAATTTCAGTTTTTATAGCGGTGCGTTTGGAGTTTCGGCCCTGCTCATTTCACCCGTAGAGGGCTCATTATTTAAGTCATCTTTATTGTCATAAGTGCTGCTAGATTGTGGAGAAAACACTGCAAATTCTTGAGGAAACTTTATATCATATCCCAATGTTCGCGATCGAACCTCGCGTACGGCGGTTCAAAAAACATCCAGAGTACCGCTTGAAAAAAAACAAGTTTACATTATCTTCTTTTGAAACATCACATCCAAGTATCGTTTTGGCTTTTAGAACTCTTTTATGCTTTCAACTAAAGCAAAGTTCACACTTTTGTTTCAAAAAAGATAAGTTCGTTCGTATTTAAATGCTAGGATATGTCCGAAGATCAACCTTAAACATCAAAGATATCACGGTTCGCCGCAGACTATATTTATGTCTTGTTCGTTCCCAGCTATGCTATGGATCTCAAATTTGGGCACCACAATCAGTAACCTTAATTAAACGCGTGGAAAGACTTCAAAGACGCGCAACAAAGTACATCCTGAATCTGCCCTTCCGTTGTGACACAACCTACAACCAGAGACTTGCACTTTTAGATCTCCTTCCATTGTGCTACTGGCATGAATTTCTAGATATGGTAACCTTCTACAAATTAACGCATGGCATCATGACCATTGACAGTAATTTAATACAGTCGTCACCCAATAACAACAGAAGACAAACCAGGTCGTCTAATCCCAATCATCTGTCAATCACAACGGCACAATGCAAGACCACTACCTACCAAAGGTCATTTCTCAACCGAACAAAGAGACTATGGAACGCATTACCAAAAAGTTTGACAAGCAATAACATTAGTTTGGGACAATTCAAAAACGGACTTTCAAAATATTACAAGTTAGCGTTGCAAGACGTTTTTAACGTTGATGATCCAAGGACATGGAAATCTATATGTTTGTCTTGTAACAAGTCTCGTAATCTGTCCTGTCAAATATCGTGTTGTTATTAGATTTATGTTCGTTGTATATTGTTGTATAGTATTAAAATAGTTAATGGGGCCGCTGTAATTGGTGAAAACTGTTGCGTGCACCCTGCCAATGAAACACATATTATTATATGTTGTTGTAAATCAGTGGTGTTATATGTTGCATGTTACTTGGCAAAGTTAAATAAATTTTGAAGTCACACGAGTTAAGTTTACACATATACGAAGAACGTAACCCCCGGAAGTAAAACCCTAGGGAGCCACCTTAAAATGAAATTTTGCGAGCCACCTTAGACCAGTGAACTCTAATAATAACTGGAAGGCTAACTCCTATAATCAAAGTCTATGATTCGTTGAAGCCGGCGCGCGGGAAAATCAGCTTTCAAAAAGACTAAGGAGAGTTTCGAGGAGTGAAAAAAATTCTGCCAAAAGTTTGTTTTCGAGCAAAAATTTGCAAGAAAAACACTTTTTCCATGGGAATACAACAATGATTGGGATTTAAACCAGGTTTTCCGATTAGTTCCAACTGTTTTACATCTCTCTGCAGCAAAAAGTAAGCAGTTTTGCTTTTGTATTTTGAAAAAATGACGAAAGTTTGGACGTGCCGAAGGAAATCTCGCCGTTCAACTCAAAAATATATACTATAAAACATTTTGACAGTCCCAAAACTTATGTTGTACTAAACCCCAGGTATCGTTATTGATCCTGAGCTTTTAGTCCTTGTTTTAGTCGCTCTTAAACATAAATAAATGGGCGTTTTTCAAGTGATGTTATTTTCGTCATCGGCATCTTGTTGACCACTATGAGCACTTTGAATATGGCAATATTTTTGTCAATTTTCAAATGCTTTTTTTTCGACCTTAAAACGTTCAATCTTCTTGAAACTTCGCATACAGATGTATTTTGCATGGGTATAAAAAATTCCTGAGGTGTGACGTCTTAGTTTTATCTTAAACTTCCAAAAACTCAGAAAAAGCAGCCTAAAACGCGCGGTTTTTCGGACCGTTCATGCTTATGGTCGTGTTTTTTCGCATTTTTTTGCTAATTCGTGATATGTTTGCTTTGCGAATATTAAATTCATTTATAATACTACTGATATAAATTAAATTTGGTAGTATAACTAATATTTTGGGGCAAGATTTTTCTGATCAAAAAATGTGCATATTTTGAAAAAAAAATGTAAAAAGGACTGGGTCTACCTACAAAAAAAGCTTCAAGCACGGCTTCAACTCCCCCCCCCCCTGACTTAGCCTTCCAGTTATTATTAGAGTTCACTGCCTTAGACATGCTTTCGTCATCAAAACTGAAAAATGTTCAAAAAACATTGCGTTTTGCGACACACAATTGGTCCTTCCCTTTCCTATATCTTATCTTGTCTTTATAGATTTTATATACATTCAAAAATCTCAATAGCTCAAAAATCACTTGCCTTGAGCCTGCTTTATAGTCAAGCGTGTTTCATACATGCGTGTACGCACGAATATGTTTCAATCTCTGTTACATAAGTGCAAATACCTGAATATTTAAATCAATCACAAAATTAAATGCTGTCTTTTTATATTCATTCCATTTTTTCATCAGTAACATTTAAGAAAAACGCTTACGGTTGATTTCACATAACTTTTCCTTATATATATATATATTGCATGTGTATACTTCGTTCCGAACTTCGGTGTGAAGTTCAAAAGTTCTGATACTGAAATTCACAAGCCGGTTTGTAAACAAAGCCTCTGATTGGTCCCAGAACAGAAATAAGCCAATCAAATGCATTGTTTACAAACCGGTTTTTGAATATGATTATGAACTTTTGCACCTCGCAGCAAAGTTCGGAACGAAGTTCGCAACATTGATGGAAAAGGTATGTGAAATCAACTGTAACTGGAAAACATACCAATGACATGAAAATTGTCATTATAGAAACCTTTACTTGACTGCACCTAATATGCTTTACTTTAAATAAATTAAAACGTAATTTTGTGATACTGTAATCTGAACTCTATCGTGAATTTTGAAGGCGTATTACTCATTAAACTAATCATTTTGCTAAACTTAAAGGTACAATATTATATTTTTCATTGTAGGTGTGAGCAATGACCCAAAACTATAGCGTTAGCCATCTGTGCCCACTCTATCAGAAATTTGACAGTTCACGACATATATTTCAAGCTCGTTTCAAGTAGTTAATGACCGTTATGAAAATTCATGCAAATTATATTTCGTCTCTGAAGTGTATGTCATTTTCGTCGTTCTCAAGAGATGCAGTGGCATATTTAAAACTTTAAACTGACATTCTTGTCTGTACATTACTAAAAAACAACCATGGCAAACTACTCAATACATTTCCCTCAGTACCTGGCGAGATTTTTCTTCCATCGATTGACAATGTATTTAAATTCATCGCAATGATTGTTAGAGCTTTGGGAAATATAACTGTCAATAATTCATAATTTATACAATTTTCTTGAGCAAAGAAAAGACAGGGACATCTTAACTCAAGAACCAAAAGATCAGAAAAGAATGGAAGCAGGCAAAGACTAGCCTTGATATCTAGAGAAGCAAAGGGAAAAAAAGAGGAGGAAAGACGTAGCGCCGGAAATAATCCTAATCAGGACGATCTGGTAAATGCGTTAATTTACGCTGGTGTAGCGGCAGCTGCATTAGGAGGAATCCGTTATATACGTATACAACAAGACCAAGTCCGAAGACGAACCTGAAGGCGAACCTGCAGACCAGCTGCCTGAAGGTGGTCCGAAGGCGCAGCCGAAGACAAGCTTAAACCAAAGTTTGAAAAATTTAAAAAAATGTATTATATAATAAAAATGGATAAAAGAAGTCAAGAACTTACGCCTGGTTTTAAAAGGGCGCTAACCTTCGATGCTGTGGGAAGCAGAAAATGCAACTTCGTCACATTTAACCCAAACGAATCCAATCCTAGAGAGGACATTTACATAAACATCCCAAAACTGGAACCAAACACCTGTATCGTTCCGTATTCGTATCGTCTGTCGTACGAATTCAAAAACAAGAACACAAAATTCTGTTTTATGAATAATCTCGGTAAACTTCTGTGTGAACGACTTATGGTAAAAGTGGGTGGTGAGATAGTATACGATAACAATGGTGAAAGTATCATCGAAGTCTGTCCTTACGCACCATACAACATGAAGAGTGGATTCGAGTGTCTGTTAAGTCTTCCAAAAGCCGATAAAATTATGGTCGCACAAATCGGAAAGAACGTAAAAGGCTTTCCCAAACATCGAGAAAGTAAAATTTACGATACAGAGAAAGCCGAATGCCGTGTACAGCCAGGGCTTAACAACGGAAAATCTCTACGACGAAGCAAAAACACTATTCGGAACAGCCAACGACACCTGTAACGACAACATAAGCGTCAGGAAATTTTGTAAAAACAAATTCGCACTGGTGGTTGATCTGAGAGCTGTTAATGGCAGTACTGCCGTTGGAAGCGGAAAAATGTTTCTCGGCGCTAACCTGGAGTTCTTCTGGAGATTGAAACCGATGGAATGTCTGAAGATGTTTTCTGTAACATTTTCGTGTTATCCGATGGATTAATAAACATCAGCGAGAAAACCCTACAAGGTATTGAATACTAAATAATAAAAGATGGAGCCCTTGAAACACCATTTAACACGATTTCTCTCGGAATGACCGGATGTGGGAAAACATTCTATTTACTAAAAATGTTGGAAAATGATTATAAAAACATATATTTCTTGATCATATATTTCTAATATGTCCTACATATGAATGGAACAAAACATATCAGGACTGGAAATATAATAGCCTAAGGACAAAGACTTTGTAGCCATGCCCTGTAAACAGGACGACGTAAATCTGTGTTTAAAACACGTTTCTTGGTTCGCAGAAGGAACGAATAATCTAATCGTTTTCGACGACTGTGCGAGCAGTCAATCCGTTAAGAACAGAACCAGCGAACTGGTAAAACTCGGGTTTAGCGCCACACACATGGGAATCTCAACGATCGTCATCACCCAACAACTTTCATCCATTGCAAAACCTTGCAGAGAAAATTATCTAAACTCGTAACATTTTACAATCCAAGCGCAAAAGACACGAACATTATATTAGACGATTATTTAGCCAATTAAAGAAGATCATTAATATGCTAAAAAATAACGATTACGCTAGGTTGGAAATACTATTACGCCGTCCTTATGCTCACAAGATAATTATTCCGCATATTAAATAAAGGAATGGAAAACATATTTGAACCTACGGAACATGTGGAGCAAATTAATTTTAAAGTGACGCACCGTCCGCGGCTCCACCAGGAGCAAGGGAAGAACTATTAAAACAAGCTGACGCTGGCGAAATTAACTACACCGCAAAATACATCAAAAAGCATCCGAAAAAAACACTAGAGAGTATATACAAAGACTACGAAAGGCAGCAACTGGAGAACACAAACAACCAACAAACCGACATCCTCATCGCCAAGTTTACCGAACTTATGGGAGAACTGAAAGCTGTCAAATCCATTCCTTCGGTATATTTGACAGGTGGAAAACAAGCTGCTCAATGTGTAGTGGAAAACAAGCTGCTCAAAAAAGACCTAAGAAACCTTGTTGGTTACATAACACCATATATTCCGCTCATTGGAATATTAAGTGCTGGAATTACTTTCGGAAAACACGTTGTCAGTACTAAGGTAAGCTGTCCGGAGAAAAAGGAATAAATTAACATTTTTAATGATAAATTTTCATTAAAAATGTTTTAGCAATATGGATTAGTAAGGTCATTGATGTCGGATTTAGTAATGTTATAATTGTAAAACATGGCGTTAAGCAGAATGTTATCAAGATTAAAAATTGCTCCCTTAATGTTAACATTTTATTTTCTAAAAAAATTAAGATTATGTTTTTTGTGTTGACACAGAAAAAGGAATAAATTAACATTTTTAATTATAAATTTTCATTAAAAATGCTTTAGCAAAATAAATTAGTAAGGTCATTGATGTCGAATTTAGTAATGTTATGATTGTAAAACATGACGTCAAGCAGAATGTTATCAAGATTAAAAATTGCTCCCTTAATGTTAACATTTTTTTTTCCTAAAAAAAAATTAAGATTATGTTTTTTGTGTTTACACCAGAAATCCTTGTTTATTCCCTTACGATATGCCCATTCCATGCATGTTTTGCAACGTTTCTGCCACGGTCGTGCCTTTGGTTTTTGAACATAGTTAGTTTTTCCGGAATAATGTTCGAACATATTTTCTCTAACCATGGTTTTATTTGCTGTAGGAAAACTTTACCTTTAAACATCAATCTCAAAAGCTACGTAACCATATCGCTCTAGCGCAACCATCTGCCGATGATCGACATCTTCCTCCATTTCCTCATACTCCAGGGTATCCGATTTGGAATACCATTCTAAAAGATCCGTAGGTCTTCCCAAATGGATCCGACTCGTCGGACATTCCAGCCAGCAGCTCGTCACCCGAACTCTGGAACTAACAGACACGAGAACGTGGATCCCTTTCATACCCTGATGGTGCCGGTGGGAAACATACCGAATCTCGGCATTCTCTCCCATCCATCCCTTTCCGAACCCGATCCTGTGCTTAGCCCGTTTGTCGGTTGCGAAATTTTTGGTTGATACAGTCAGGGTCGTATCCGAACAACCGGTCTCTTCGCATAACTTCTGTTCCATTTTTTTGGACAATTGAAGTAAGTTGGACTTTGTCGGTAATCCTTCGGAATCTTATGGTTTTTTATTCACCTTAGGAAAACTTTGTCTTTAAATTTTAATGTGAGAAATGCATTAAAATCACATCGTAAGACCATCGAACATGTCCGATATCTCACCAATCTGTCCGTACATGGCTTCCCTCATCTCAGCTTCCGCCCGCATCTCCTCTTCCTCCATCTCCGTCCACATCGCCTCTTCCTCCTCCTCTTCTCCCCCAGTAGTCATACTCCTGCACTCCGGTGGGACGTAAATTTCACCCGTAAGGTTGCAAAGACCCTCACCAATCTCCCTTGCTTCCTCATCCATTAAGGTCCACGGTTTGTCCCCTTCCGAACATCCTAGCAAGGCTTCGGAAATCTCCATGTCGTCCCTCATTTCCGTGTGAATAAGAACTCGCTTCAGATCACCGTTCCAAACGTTGTTTACAATCTCCAAATTCCAGATCGGAACCATCGTGTGAAAACAACAGTCGTTCGAAATTACCGCAATCGTCAGCGTGACGTCATCGGCCGGAAAAAAATCCTTCATGTAAACGATCTCATCCATTTTCTTTTCAAATTGGACTTTGTGGGATTCCATCCCATTCCATTCCATTTATTTACCCTAGGATGTTATTCTTATCTTTAAAGCCCCGTTTACACTACGCTCAATTTTTGGTACAGTACCACTTTTTGGTTCTTGGATAGGTAGTCCAAGAACCAAAAAAGTGCTACGGGTACCAGTTTTATCCATGCCGTACCAAAAATTGAGCGTAGTGTAAACGGGGCTTAAATGTTGATCTATACGGAAAGAGTCGTCAAAGTAGAGTCCTGTCGGCGGAGCAAATGTTTTTTCCGTAGACAGTCGGACTCCGCATTGACAGTTGGACGCATCATTGACCAGCGCCCTTAAACAAAACATTCAGCGGATACTCTTCTTATTAGATACGTAGACAAGGATTTGGGTGGGGTTCTAAAATTATTTTGAAGTCGGGTGGGGCGGGTGCGATAGATGGCAGTTGGCGCATGCGCGGAAGGGTAAGCGTTGAGGGTATTAGGCGCATCCGCGGGAGGTGGGTCTGTTTTCAAAATGAGCCAGAACCAGCTCTTCCCTACTACTTCGTATAAACCCGGGAAGGCGAGAAATCGCCTCGCTCAAGCGTATGCATGGCAAACCGGGCCGACCAGTTCTCATGTGAATCAAATGTCGAAAACATATAAGGCGATATACGAGGCGAGACCTCGCCATTTGTGATTCATCTTAGTTTACCCGACCACGCCTCATCTCATACGAACGTGCTCTAAAGCAAACATCTTTCATCAAGCAGAGGATGAAACAAAAGCAACGAATGGTTTTGAAATCTTATTCCAGAGACGTCGGAAACAACTCAAAGCGGGGGCAAAAGCCATTTAAAAAGCGCGCTTACTTCTCAGCCTTAATATTTGCGGGTAGCAAAGTTCGTTAAAATTTTGCTTTACGCGGGTATCTGATTACTAAGAGAACTTTCTATTATCTACTCTAGTTGTGGCTACACGGACTGCTTAATTAAAACTCTCCACGCGATATAGACGAGAAGAAGCTTGTCTTAGGCTTTGTCAAATTCGATATAACAAAATCCTTAGATTAAGACAACCATGTATTTACAGTAATAGTGCGTTCTTCTTAGCACTGAATGCTTTACTTAAAAAATAATTTAAAACTTCCTTTTCTAGCACTAGAATTTTGAAACTGTTTAATTAAGAGCATTGGGAGCAGCCCGGATCATAAAATTCATAATCAATTTCCAACAAGAATGGTACAGCATCATTGTTTGAGAAATCATCGTGAGTTTATGATACCTAATGTGAATACAAACATATTTTTAAACACTTATGTAGTATCTTCTGCAAATGAAACGAGTAGGTCACAAAGGTAGAGTTAATATAGTGATCATGATTAGAGAGACCGCCATAAGTTATTTTACTGTTTCTAAGAGTAGCGTGCATTATTATGGGGCAAAACGAAATTTGCCCGACTTTTTAATTTTGCCCGACCAATTCCCTGCTAAACTTCGGAATTAAACATTCGAAAAACTAAAAATGTTTTCCAACATTGCCCTATTTTCTTGCATTTTTTTACTATTATCTTACATGTTTGTTCTTTTTCTCATTTCTTCCCAACTTACGTTCAACATTTGCCCGACTTACGTTTAAAATTTGCCCAACTTATCCACATTTCAATCTTTCTGGGAGGGTCTGGGAGGGCAGCTGCTCTCCCTGAACGTCGATATTAATTACATATAACTTTTTAAAAAACGCATTTGTACGAATTTTACTCTAAACATAAACGTATACAATATTATATATTTCACTGTGGGAGTAAAGGATGGATAAACTTATAGCCAGCTGTGCACACTCAGACAAAAAGTTGACAATTTCTGACATATATTTTTAAAATTTTGAACTCGCTTCAAGTAGGTAATGCCGGTCATATAAACTCAGCATGCAAATTTTATTTCGGCTCTCAAGTGCTTTTGCCGTTTTTGAAATATTTAAAGCTTTAAAATTGCATTATTGTCTTCATCTTTCTAAAAAAATACAAGCATGGCGCATTTCTACACAGCTGTACCTAGCAAGTTTCTCCTTCCATCGATTGTGTTTAAATTTATCGCAATGATTGTTGGAGTTTTGGGAAATATCACTGTCATAATTTATACAATTTTTATCAGCAAAGAAAAGACAGTGACATCTTACTTGGTAGGAAACTTGGCACTGGCAGATCTTCTCGTGTGCTTAACACCTTATCCAATTTGGATCGTTGAGTTTATACAGACTATATTGAGCAATGATAGTGACCAGGATATTTTTTGTAAGTTAAGTTGTTCTACCCTCTGGTCAGTGCAGTTCGCTTCAATGGCTACACTCCTCGCAATTACTGTTGATCGTTATTTATATATAGTAAAAGCTCTGAAGTATCCGCTGATTGTGACTAAACGACGAGTTTTTCTAGCTATTTCAGGAATTTGGCTGACTGCGTGCTGTTTTTTAATTGTTTTACTAGTTAGTTATACATACGACTTCAGAATAAGGAGCTTGTGCGAGAATAAAAATAATGATATATATCATCATTTTGTTCATAGTTTTGTTACCTATTTGCCACTTACTTTAATAATGTTTATTAATATCTGGATTTTAATTGTTGCGGAGAAACAGCGAAAACGTATCTTGGCTGAAACAGCGCTACCCGTTACAACTTCCAACGGACAACCTGCAAACAGAATGTCGGCTATACGTGGATTTTTTCACGCTCATAAAGCAGTTAAGACATTTTCCATTGTTGTGGCAGTGTTGATTTTCTGTGTCCTCACTCCAAATGTGGTTGGGCTGGTGCTTCACTATTCCTGTAGCGAGTTATGTCGACAGATTTGGTTCGTAGTTTTTCACTATGAATTTTATGGGATAAATTCGATCGTGAATGCTTTTATCTATGGGATGAGACATATAAAATATAGAAAAGGTTATCAACATATTATTTTGAAAATACTTCGCTGTAATGAACTGACAAACTGATCGAGGATTCTGCCTCACAACGGACAAAATTCAACCTCTTCGGTATTTATGGCGCTTGTGAAAATAATTAAGAACAAAACAATAATAGACCAGCTGGACTGCCTGGAAACGGCTGGAACTCAATAGAGCATGCTACATTATGGAACGAAGCACAATAGAATATTACAAATACATCGGTGCACGACGCTATGATTTTTCTATCTAAGTTCAAATTATCGACGCAACCTTACAATCGCAGTTCCGAACCGCTCAACGATTTCATCGCCAACAGTACCGCGTCAGCACGAACCAGCATTACTGTACGAACTGCAATCGCCATGAAACCTCACGAAACGAAACGCTAAACTGAATGTTAAGTTACATTCTATGTTAGGCATGCAAGGCTGGTTATTTTATATTATTTAGCTAAAGTTAATTAATGATAGTTAGCGATTGAATCAGAATTATTGATTTTAGAGTTAATAATACGATTTAAAGTGCTGCAAAAACAAGACATTTATTTACCTATATAGAATATTAACGAAGCATTTTGTTAATAAAACGACTTAATAAGGGTTTCGGGGGCGAAGTGGTTAGCGCATTTGCCTTTCACCTCTAAGGCCGCAGGTTCAAACCTTACACAGGGAGAACTTTCCCAATGCGACTCGAGCCCAGTCCTCATGTGAAAAGAGTAAAAGTCAACGCTCTGTCGAAAGTCGTGGTTTTCTCTGGGTACTCCGGTTTCCTCCCACAGGGAAAGTTGACAGGGTGGATTAGGTAAAAAGGCCCACAGTAATCGGCATATGCTGTTGTGGTGACCCTGACCTAATTGGCAAAGCTAAATAAATTTAAAAAAAAAACACAATAAAATTTATACGAATTACTTGTTGTTGTTTTAAAAGCGAATTTAATTAACATGAATCATCTGCTGGTCTTTTAAAATCAATTTAAATTGAGGTGAATATGATCTCCACTGCATGCAAACAACATTTTTGTTGACAAGGAGCATTGAAATACTTCATTTTTGAGTCCGTGCGGGGTAATCATTAGAGAGATTTAGATCGAGGACGCGGACGTCAAAGACGACGTGAAAATGGCGTCAAAATGGCCATAAATGGGCACAACACGCCATTTTCATGTCGTCTTTGATGTCCTCGATCTAAATCTGTCTTTTTAATTCGACGAAAATTTAAACGAAAACTTAAACGAATCATCAACGATTATCGAATTTGATAATAGAAAATACTTTTCTTGTTAATATAATATTTTGGGGTTCGTTTTGGACGTATAGTCACAACATTTATCTGCAGTGTAATTTTACCTGTATGTTACAGCTTTTCAAGTGAACGGAGCCATGCGCGGAAGTATACTACTACACTCTTAAAACACTCTGGTTAATCTTTTCCAAATACATGTAGCCCAAAAACCACACGTGGTTCAAACAAACGTTTACGTCGCAATGGAGTGGTACATCTGCCTTATTTGAAACCATTTAAGGTTTTTCGACTAAAGAACCCCGAAAAGCTCATAACAATCATATTTTTGCAAACTTAGTCTTAAAGTTTCAGATTATACAAGCCACCAATGGTTTCTTTTTAATGATTATGTAACATATTTTAGTAAATAGAGCGAAAGAAAATTCTTCCAAGCATTTCTCTCGCAAATATTTTTTTTCAAAAGCTTACGCGTGAATAGGTATCATAAAATGATACATCATTAGTCAACCGCCCTGTTAATTTCTACTTAATGACTATAAATCAAGCTTGTGGTTTTTTGGGGGTACCTTGCTTTTTGGGGTACATATACCTGCAGGTCACCAGACAAAATAGAGAGATACAGCGCATTGTTTTTCTAAAATGGAAAATTCTAATGACGTCAGCAATTGACATAAAACGCTATAGAACACGCGCAATGACGTGGGATGTCGCGAGCATCAGGTCATTTTGTTAATCAGTTTCCGCGACCTGCACGTAAAAATGGTCACCCGGTTTTGTTCGCGATTCTTGAGCAGATTTTTGTGACAACTATTTCCAGCCGCCTTAACATCTTGTGTTTTACATTTCATATACTGTTAATTAGAAATCTCAATATTTCATGCCTTACAACGACCTGCATGATAATGATGATTATAAGAAGCATCATTCGCCTGCCCAAATAATAAACAGTTATTGCATGAGGTTTCTGTGATACTCAGAATAATCAATGTCAAGAGTCGAAGGCGAGATTGATAACACTTACTGAGACCTTAAAGGTGATGTAAAGTCCGTAATGTAAACAAACGCTTTGTTTATATTTTGAACTCAGTCCTACAGTTGTAAAATATGACTAGATATATATATTATATACATACTGAATTTTTTACACTTTTCTGGTTCGCTATCCTTGGAAATTAATGCAGACTAGAGATTAAATTCAAGAAATTTCGGAAGGTATGAAATATTAACAACATTCCAATGTTCGGGTCCCGACCATTGGAATATAGGCATGCGCAGAAGGGTTAGCTTAAAATGCGGATGCGGAACGGAACGGATGGGGTTAAAATGCGGAATGGATATGGGGTTAAAATGCGGAACGTTTAACCCCATATCCGTTCCGTCCCGCATTTTAACCCCATATCCGTTCCGTTCCGCATTTTAATCCCATCCGTTCCGTTCCGCATGCGTTCCGTTTCGCATCCGCATTTTAACCTAACCCCTGCGCAGAACGTATGCTGACTCGTCCCCAGTCGCTCGCGTTGGATGATGGGAATGGGTTAGGTTTCTGAGCGACTGGGAAATCCTGTATTCAAGATGGCGTCCATACATAATGCCTAATGGCGCGCGGACGCTATATCGAAGGAGCGAAAATTAGGGCAGAAACTTCTTAAAGGCATTTCATGAAGCGTTTTTGGTGCAAATGTGTGCGAAATGTGTTATTTTTGGAAGAAAATGGATTACCGCAACATTTCGTGTAGCTCATACGAAAAATTAAAAATTTTATGACGATGAAACGTATGTGTGGCGAAGAAACGTTGTGATATATTCAATATCAGTATGAGAAAGAAATCAAAGGCGAGTTAATATCATGAATAATTTCTTAATTACAGTTGTGAATAAGGTTTGTTTAGCAATTTTTTTCGTCCTTAATATTTTGTGCAGGGATAAAATATGCACATATTTTAATATTTATTTACAACTATTAGGTATTGAGTGAATGTCGGTTCAAAGTTTCCAGGGAAGCAGATGTTAATGTATTTGCCGAAGATGTGAGGAAAGCTTCCAAAATTTACGGAGTAATAAATTCTGGGAAATGCAGACCAAAATAATCCATGCAAAATATCAGTTGGTATACCAAACAAACAATGGATGGAACACATGGAAACATTGAAGGGAACCTTGTGTAACTGCGTGTGTGTGTGTTCGCGTGTATGCATAATTAATAAGTATATTTAATTTATTCTGTTATATAAAGAGACTTGCAAAGTGTGAGAAGTATATAGTCTTGCGTAAAAATCAGTAAAGTGAACATTAAGAGTTAGTAAAGAGAACTACAAAAATAATTTAAAGACATCATTATATCTCACGGATACTTTCCATAAAGAGTTTAACAAGGGAAAGACCGTCGAGATACCGTTGAATGTTATTGTAAAGTAATAAAAATTAAAGAGATTTAATCAGTCTTGCGTATTAAAGTTTATGCTTTACGGTGAGCACTGAAGCGCCGTTACAGTGAGATATATGTCGCTAAGAGAAGCTACGAAAAGATTTAGACTCATTGCGAGAAAGACTATACGAAGCACATCAAATCTATTATTCAAAAATTAATCCTGGTGAAATCAATGAAGCGTACCAATGGTATGATATCCAAGATCGTGAACATTTTCAATGCCGTAGAAGAATTAACGAAGCAATAAAGGAACAAGAACTTGTGATGGCACCCTACGATAAAGGAACAAGAACTTGTGTTGCACCCACACCTGTGGGGCAACTTACGATATTCGGTCATCTGAGCTACTCAATAATCTAAATTGGAAACCTCTAGAAGAAAGACGAAATTATCTTGAATCTATTTTCGTCTATAAAATTTTGAATGGCCACACCGCACCCAATCTTAAAGAAGCATTTCATTTTAATAATGAAAGACATAATACTTACAATCACGTGGCTTTTCAGCTGACGTCTGCCAGATAAGTCCACATACAGCGACTTTTTTATAATTTTTTGGTCTATTTTGGTTTGTTTGCCAATTATATACATTTCGATTACTTAGTTGAACATAATACACTCTCCGGAAAGCACGTCACTTTGGCCATGTAATCTCTTTTTCGTGCACACGATATAAGCTAAAGCCCAACGTCGCAATCACGAAAACGAGGCCGAATAGCAAAAGTGCAACTTTCCAGAAGGTTGTATTGAATATTGATCCGGTATACGCCGATCGAATATGTTTAGTTTAAACTCAATACAAAAAAGAAAACGCGTGAACTTCTGAACATCAAGAAACGTTACTTTTTATAGACCGTCCCCGATGATATACCGATGTTGTTGCCCAATGACTTTACCAAGGCTGACTTTCCAAATCTCAGGGCTGATATGAACAAATCGTACCAAAGCATGCCCAATACAGCGATACAGTTTTGGAAACATTATCTTGAAACTGCCGACCAGGATAAATATGTCTAACCAGATGAGGAATTGTGTCCAATGTCCATTCTCAAGAATGGATATAAACGACCTGGGAAGGAAGGACAATCTATTGAACAACCCACGGTGAACCTTTATTTCAGGGAAAAGGAAGCAGCCCTACTTGAAGAGGTATATAATACATAACGAAATACATGTATGCAGCCCCAATTTCCAGTCACAGTATTAAAAATAAAATCCGTACATAAAAAAGTTTGTAAATTTTCTTATTATATTATCACCCAGAAATGGCGAGGCATATCTTTAAGTTAAGTGGGACTATCATTATAATTAGAAAGGTTCGACAATATTACGGTATAATATTAGGTGTGAGAACCAAATGCTAGACTATTCCTGAATGAGAAATGTATCAATTTATGTTAATAAATGACCTACCACTGAACAATCTTGTCTGTCACTTGAAAAAATTCGCACTTGGATTGACGGTAATTACTGATGGAAAATGCTGCTTTGTCGTTAGGTAATTGTACAGTATATACAATCATTCTGTGACTGTCAAGCATTAATATAAGACAATCATATTATGAACTCATAAAAAAAGATCATTATGCCAACAAACAAGCTAGCAATGGAGAATAATATTTCCCTTCATAATGCGGAATATATAACACAGGCAATATGCAAAAATAACTATTTGTTAATTTCTGGTTTTAGATTTATACTGGACGTTATCTGCCTCCTGCTGCACGTGGAGTGACTCAAAGCGATGACTACCTACGCAATCTGACGCCAGGGGCATTTGTTGCTGTCAACACTGCTAATTACAAGACGTTCCCTGTGATTGGAAAAGTTTCTGAAGTAAGAGAGGACGAGACTGAACTGGAATATTGGCAAGGATCGTATACAAAATCATGGCAACCCCACCTTCTAACAAGGAATAAGGAAAAAATACCGTGGAGCGATACCTTGCCAAAGCGGTCTATTATTGTATGCAACTTTTTTTTCGACGAAAGTGGAAAACTTCAGGAAAACACACGCAGATCGATTCCTTAAGCGTTGGCGGAAGGAGAATACAAACAAGTGAAATTGGTATTATACGTACTGTAAATAGATCCTGACGTGAAATGCTGCAGAATATGTGGGTGTGGTTAACTTTTCAGTATTATTGTAGATATTTAGATTTTCTCACACGTTTGACATCCAGTAAGCAAATTTTAAAAACATATAGATCTGCTTTTAAAAATTTCAGAATTTTCAATTTTATATGCATTTTGCTGCACCAGAAACTTCACCAAAAATATACAATTTATTTAATATTTAATATGTTCATTCTGATAATTTGGTGACCAACTATAATTTTGCAATCCGTTTCGTATGTACGAAAGTATCAGAAATCGCAGTCTATGCAGTTTTAAGTACATCTGCGATATAAACGGTTTAAATATCGGAGCCGTAGTAATTGGCTAAGCGCTGTTACGGACTCCCTGCCATTAATTGTATTATAGTTATTTACAAGGCAAAGCTAATAAATTAAATTAATTAATTAATTAATTAAAAAGTACCAGTCTTTTTATACTTTGGACCACCAGTCTCTGCAGTTTTAGGTATATTTGAGATATAAATGGCTTATTTCTGATAATTTGGAACACCAGTCTCTGCAGGTTTAGGTATATTTGAGATATAGAGGATTTCAAAAGTATCAGAATTTCTGATACTTTCGACTACCAATTTCTGCAATTTTAAGTATTTTTCACATACAGGGGATTTGAAAAGTATCAGAATTTCTGATACTTTGGATTACCAGTCTCTGCAGTTTTAAGTATGTTTGAGATATAGAGATTTTCAAAAGTATCAGAATTTCTGATACTTTCGACTACCAGTTTCTGCAATTTTAAGTATATTTCACATATAGGGGATTTGAAAAATATCAGAATTTCTGATACTTTGGACTACCAGTCTCTGCAGTTTTAATGATATTTGAGGTATAGAGGATTTCAAAAGTATCAGAATTTCTGATACTTTGGACTACCAGTCTCTGCAGTTTGAAGTATATTTGAGATATAGTGGACTTGAAAAGTATCAGAATTTCTGATACTTTGGAGTACCAGTTTCTGCAGTTTTAATGATATTTGAGGTATAGAGGATTTCAAAAGTATCAGAGTTTCTGATACTTTGGATTACCAGTCTCTGCAGTTTTAAGTATATTTGAGATATAGTGGATTTGAAAAGTATCAGAATTTCTGATACTTTGGACTATACCAGTCGCTGCAGTTTTAATGACATTTGAGGTATAGAGGATTTCAAAAGTATAAGAATTTCTGAAACTTTGGACTACCAGTCTCTGCAGTTGTAAGGTTTTTGTATATTTCAATTGGAGCATCTCACAAAAATTTATGCTGCTTAATAAGGTGTATTTATATCTTCGCATTTCCAAGATAATGTATTGTAATTTGCTTATTCGTAATTTTTGCTAGTCCGTATCCTCTATTTTTGCAGACAAAAATTGATGGTCAGCAAGATTTTATGAAAAGGATTGTTTCTGTTGACGGGTTTTTCTATGGAAACAGTTTTCGCGCTTTAAGCGTGGTTTTGCATCTTGCTTTTCTCTCAAATATCATTTCCTTTGACTTATTTTGCAGATAGCATAAAGCCATTCAAACATTTTTTAAAAGTTTTTTATATTTTGCGAAAAATGAGCAGAAAATCTGCAAAATGAGGTGAAAATAGCCAAAAAAAAGAATTTTGGAAAATGCAAAGATAGTTTGGAACGCGTTCTAAACTTAAATGTACAATATTATATTTTTCGCTGTAGGTGTAAGCAATGAGCCAAAGCTAGCCATCTGTGCACACTCAATCACATATTTGACAGTTCACGACATATTTTTAAGCTCGTTTGAAGTAGCTAATGACCGTTATATAAACTTAGCATGCTAACTTTATTCCGACTCTGAAGTGTTTGTCGTTTTCGTCGTTCTCAACAGACATACAGTGGCATATTTCAAACTTTAAACTCACATTCTTTCCTATCTATTTCTCGAAATACAACCATGGTAAACAATTCAACACATTCACCCACACTACCTAGCGAGATTCTTCTTCCATCGATTGTATTTAAATTCATCGCAATGATTGTTGGAGTTTTGGGAAATATCACAGTTATGATTTATACAATTTTCTTGAGCAAAGAAAAGACAGCAACATCGTACTTGGTAGGAAACTTGGCACTGGCAGATCTTCTCGTGTGTTTAACATTTTATCCAATATGGATCAGCGAGTTTATACAAACTATATTGAACATTCATAGTCATCAGGATCTGTTTTGTAAGTTAAGTCGTTCTACCCTCTGGGCATTACTGTTTGCTTCAATGGCTGCAATTCTCGCAATAACCATTGATCGTTATTTCTATATTGTAAAACCTCTGAAGTATCCGCTGATTGTGACCAAACGACGAGTTTTTCTAGCTATTTCAGGAATTTGGCTGACTGCGTGCTGTCTTTTAATTGTTTTACCGGTTAGTTATAGATATAACTTCAGAATAAGGAGCCGCTGCTACAATAAAAATAATGTTATATATAATTATGTTATTCAAAGTTTTGCTACCTTTTTACCACTTACTTTAATAATAATTCGTAATTTGCGGATTTTAATTGTTGCGGAGAAACAGCGAAAACGTATCTTGGCTGAAACAGGGCTACCCGTTACAACTTCCAATGGACAACCTGTAAACAAAATGTCGGCTATACGTGGATTTTTTCGCGCTCTTAAAGAAGTTAAGACATTTTCTATTGTTGTGGCAGTGTTGGTTTTTTGTGTCCTCACTCCGAATGTGATTGGGATAGCCCTGTACTATTCCTGTAGTCTATTATGTGAACAGATGTGGTACATAGTTTATCACTTTGAATTTTATGGAATAAATTCGATCGTGAATGCTTTCATCTATGGAATGAGACATATAAAATATAGAAAAGGTTATCAACATATTATTTGTAAAATACTTCGCTGTAATAAACTCACAAACTGATCTAGGATTCTTCCTCACTGCGGACAAAGTCAGCCTCTTCGTTATTTACGGGGCTTGTGAAAATAATTAAGAACAAAGCAATAATAGACGAGCTAGTCGGCCTGCCAAAGGCTGGAACTCAATGAATGCAGCATGCATGCTACCTTATGGATGATTACTGCAATTCTAAAATAAATGATCAAAATGGAAATTTTTCTTCCGAATCCTAGCTCATGAAATGAAATACTATAGCACACTTCAACTACGTTGGTACACGACGCTATGATTCCTCTATCTAAGTTCAAATTTTCGCCGCAACCTCACAATCGCAGTTCCGAATCGCTCAACGATTTCATCGCCAACAGCACCGCGTCAGCACGAACCGCATTACTGCACGGACTGTAATCACCGTGAAACTTCACGAAACGTAACGCGAAACTGAATGTTGTTATGTTACATTCCATGTTAGACATGCAGGGCCTGCTTGTATTATATACTTAGCCAAAGTTAATAATAGTTAGTGATAAGCCGGTTTGTAAACAAAGCTTCTGATTGGTCCCAGAACAACAATAAGTCAATCAAATGCATTGTTCAAAAACCGGTTTGTGAATGCAACGAAGTTTGTAACGATGTTCGCAACATTGATGGAAAAGGTATGTGAAATCAACTGTAACTGGAAAACATAACAATGACATGAAAATTGTCATTATAGAACCATTACCTGACTGCACATAATATGCTTTACTTGAAATAAATTAAAACTCAATATTGCGATACTGTAAACTAAACTTCTCAGTGAATATTCAGCAGGCTTATTATTCTTTAAAGTAATCATTTTACTAAACTTAAATGTACAATGTCATATTTTGCACTGCATGTACGCATGAGCAATGACTCAATGCTAGCGCTAGCCATCTGTACACACTCAGTCAGAAATTTGTTTCACGACACATATTTTAAGCTCATTTCAATGATTAATTAATGACCGTTATGCAAACTGGGCATGCAAATTTTATTTCGGTACTGAAGTGCATGTTTGTCATTTTCGTTGTTCTCAAGAGATGCAGTGGCATATTTAAAACTTTAAACTGACATTCTTGTCTTTATATTACTTAAAATAGTATACAGCCATGGCAAACAACTCAACACATTTTCCCACGGTACCTAGCGAGATACTTCTTCCATCGATCGTATTTAAATTAATCGCAATGATTATTGGAGTTTTGGGAAATATCACAGTTATAATTTATACAATTTTCTTAAGCAAAGACAAGACAGCGGCATCTTACTTGGTAGGAAACTTGGCACTGGCAGATCTTCTCGTATGTCTAACACTTTACCCAATATGGATCATTGAGTTTATACAGACAATATTAAAGATTGATAGTGATCAGGATCTTTTTAATTTGTAAGTTAAGTCGTTCTACAGTCTGGGCATTGCTGTTCGCTTCAGTAGCTACACTCCACGCAATTACTGTCGATCGTTATTTCTATATTGTAAAAGCTCTGAAGTATCCTCTGATTGTGACCAAACGGCGAGTTTTGCTAGCTATTTCAGGAATTTGGCTGACTGCGTGCTGTCTTTGCGTCGTTTTTCTAGGTTTTTGTAGATATGACATCAGATTAAGGAGCTTATGCGACGTTAGGCTTGACATACATCACCATTTTTTTAACAGTTTTGTTATCTACTTGCCACTTACTGTAATTATAATTCTTAATATCCGGATTTTAATTGTTGCGAAGAAACAACGAAAACGTATCTTGATTGAAACAGCGCTACCCGTTACATCTTCCAACGGACAACCTGTAAACAAAATGTCTGCTATACATCAATTCTTTCACGCTCTTAAAGAAGTTAAGACATTTTCTATTGTTGTAGCAGTGTTGCTTTCCTGCGTCCTCGCACCAAATGTGGTTGGACTGATGCTGTACTATTCCTGTAGCGATTCATGTGAACTGATGTGGTACGTAGTTTTTCACTATAAACTTTATGCAATAAATTCGATCGTAAATGCTTTCATCTATGAAATAAGACATGTGAAATATAGAAAAGGTTATCGACATATTCTTTTCAAAATACTTCGCTGTAATAAACTCACAAACTGATCGAGGATTCTGCCTCACAACGAATAAAAGTCTACCTCTACGTTAGTTATAGCGCTTTGGGAAAGTAATTAAGAAGAAACCAATAATATATTCAACTACTGAACTGCCTGAAAACGGCTGAAACTCAATGGAGCGTGCTAAACTATGGATGATTACTGCACTTCTAAAATAAATTATCAAAATGTGAAATCCGGAAATGAATTAGTATAGAATACTTCAGCCACGTCGGTACAGGACGGTATTATTTTTGTATATACGTTCAAATTAAATCACAAACAGCACGAACCACATCTTCACGAAATGCAACCACCATGCAAGGCACGAAACGCAACGCTACAGTACGTGCTAAGTTACGTTCAAAGCTAGGCGTGCATGGTTCGCGGTTGTATTAAATATTTTAGCCAAAGTTAATGATAGTTAGTGATGGTATCAGAATTATTAATTTTAGAATTAATAATACGATCTGAAGTGCCACAAAACAAGTTACCTCAATATAGAAAATTAATTAACGGAAGCATATATAGCGACTGAACTCGATAATAAAATTAACGCATCGCTAGAAATCGCGAACATTTGGAATGCAGCATGCATTCTCGCACCAGTCCCCATTTTCACTCTTATATTCAAATTTTATCAGGAATGTAGATGGTTATCCAAGTTTTACATAAAATATATTTAAGAATCATACAAAATTAAAATTGTGTATTGTGGAAACCAAATTCCGTGAACTAATCAAGGAAATAAGAAAGAAAACTAAAACCAATAATAAAATATAATGATTATTTACGATACTTAAAACTGGGCAACAACGCAATTAAATGTACGGGCAGGATTTGTGACTAATTTATCAAAACGACAATAATCCAAATTTTACAAAGTCAAACAATGGCTTAATGATCGTTGAACTTAAAAATTTGCGGTAAAATTTAAATAATATGCATATTTTAGTATCCGAAACAATAGTTCGCATATCTTAATCTGTGGTGTCAATGATTATTTGCTTCATTCCAAATTTGCATAATGTCGAAGGTTCGTTTATTAGACACAATCATGAGATTCTAATGCATGTCGCAGTTTGGCGATGATTTTTTAGGCAAAAATGGCCCAAAATATATCATTCGAAAGTTCTTTTCTTCTGTTTTTTGCTTGTTTACATTTTGTAATCCTTTTAGTATGATTACATTTTGTAATAATCCTTTTTGTAATCCTTTTAGTAATGCTTTTAGTTATATTTAGAATAATAAATTTCGGGGATAGAAAGGGGGTAATAAGGGACATAGACGTAAGGGATGTTTCGGGATTCAAATGTCCGCGATTTCTAGAGATTCGCATTACTTCTTCTTTTGAGAGTTGATGAGAGTTGAGAAGCGAGAGTTTGCATTAGAGTTGATGAGAGTTAAGAAGCAACAGTTTGCGTCAGAGTTGATGAGAGTTGAGAAGCAAGAGTTTGCATGAGAGTTGATGAGAGTTGAGAAGCGAGAGTTTGCATTGGAGTTGGTGAGAGTTAAGAAGCAAGAGTTTGTATGAGAGTTGATGAGAGTTGAGAAGCAAGAGTTTGCATCAGAGTTGATGACAATTGAGAAGTAAGAGTTTGCATGAGATTTGATGAGTGTTAAGAGCAAGAGTTTGCATGAGAGTTGAGGTGCAAGAGTTTGCATGAGAGTTGATCAGAGTTGAGAAGCAAGAGTTTGCATGAGAGTTGATGAGAGTTAAGAAGCAAGAGTTTGTATGACAGTTGATGAGAGTTAAGAAACAAGAGTTTGCATGAGAGTTGAGAAGCGAGAGTTTGCATGAGAGTTGAAGAGCGTTGAGAAACGAGAGTTTGCGTGAAAGTTGAGAAGCGAGAGGTGGCATGAATGTTGATGAGAGCTCAGACAGTGATTAAATCATTAGCATATGTAACAAAAGATTATTAAACAGTTGAACACTTTGAAATGTACACTTTATTAAATCTTCCATCCCTAGCTACCGTACATTGTTTGTTTTAAAATTCAAATGCAATTATTTTCCTGATTGTAGAAAGCATTATTTGAATGTTCAGTTGGTACTACGAACTGAGTTATATTAACGTACCTTCATAGCAACAGTAGTATTTTTTTCTACATCCAAAAATAAATGTTCCCCTCCGTGGCCATCTCCATTAATTTCATCTGCTGTATCAAACACAATACACTCCAAGTAACTAAACCCCCACTTCACTACCTGACATTTGGGAGTGTCAGTAGAGCTAGATGTTAATACACAAATTGGTTGACTGACTGGCAGTTCAATTGAATCATACCAGTTACCGTCAGTTTGACAACAATAGTATATCTTGGTATTTTTATCATATGAACCATCTGGTAGAAATCCTCCGTTTCCATTTTTGTTATTATAATCTGTATCATCCCATGTCACCCAGTCTGATGTCATATCTTTCCGACACCATCCACGCTTGTAAATACAATATGAACCTGTCAAAATAAAAATTCATTTTCCAGAGGAAATCGTTCAAAAAACGTATACAACATAAATAAATCATTTTGATTAAAAAAAATCATTCCGATGGCATGAGGAATAGCATGCATCCACTCACCTCCTCAGAACCATATAGTTTTAAAAATACAATGGTTAAACACGGAGGCTAGCTACTATATTTTCATTGTTTTGAAAATTCCATTATTTCCCTTTCAGTCATTCAACTAATAATAGTAATTATCATTCACTTTATAGCATTCTCAATTTTGATTGGTTAATTTACCTGCAAATAACTGCGTGCAAATAATAGTCTGAGCATGCGCATTTGTTAAAAACGTTGCTCAGCTACAAATAATAGTCTGAGCATGCTCATTGCCTTCAATTTTTGTAAACAATGGCGGCTCGCTTTGCTGAACTTTCGGAAAATGAGTTGTCTTGCTTTATACTTGAAGAAAAAAACGCGGAAAACAAAAAAGCGACTGAAACCGCCGTCAATGTCTTTCGTCAGCATTTAGAAGCAAGATAGATCAACGAAGACGATCTAGTTGGCTCAAAAGAAACTCTTGTCAACGTCCTTCGCAAGTTTTATGCAAAAGCAAGAAAGAGAGACGGCGAACTTATATGAAACGAAAGATAAAATGAAGCTTTATAAGTGAATGATAAAACAATTATTGAACTCGGTTCTCGCAAAATATCGTGATTTTTTTTTTTTTTTTTTGTTTTTTCTATGTTGGTATAGTGTACTCAGGTGAATATGATATTTGTGGTGTTACTCTGAGTGTATATCCACACCGGGCGAGCTTGAAAAATATGTCCGGCCACGGTGGGATTCGAACTTACGACCTTTGGAATACTAGCCCAATGCTCTTCCAACTGAGCTAGAAAACATTGGTATCGAAGGAACTAGATTCTGTTCCGAAATATCACTTACTCGAACCGTCCTGACCGCGTAGCTCAGTTGGAAGAGCATTGGGCTAGTATTCCAAAGGTCGTAGGTTCGAATCCCACCGTGGCCGGGCATATTTTTCAAGCTCGCCCGGTGTGGATGTACACTCAGAGTAACACCACAAATATCATATTCACATGAGTACACTACACCAACATAGAAAAAATTCATATTACTAGAAAACATTGGTATCGAAGGAACTAGATTCTGTTCCGAAATATCACTTACTCGAACCGTCCTGACCGCGTAGCTCAGTTGGAAGAGCATTGGGCTAGTATTCCAAAGGTCGTAGGTTCGAATCCCACCGTGGCCGGGCATATTTTTCAAGCTCGCCCGGTGTGGATATACACTCAGAGTTACACCACAAATATCATATTCACCTGAGTACACTACACCAACACAGAAAAAATTCATATTGCTAGAATACATTGGTATCGAAGGAACTAGATTCTGTTCCGAAATATCACTTACTCGAACCGTCCTGACCGCGTAGCTCGGTTGGAAGAGCATTGGGCTAGTATTCCAAAGGTCGTAGGTTCGAATCCCACCGTGGCCGGGCATATTTTTCAAGCTCGCCCGGTGTGGATATACACTCAGAGTAACACTACAAATATTCTACAATACTGCTATTGCTCTATAAAACATGTATATTTGGACGAACAATTTATTTTTAATGAATCTAAGCAGGGATAAAATTTCAGTTTAATCACTGCGCGTACTATAGGAGTTGAAGCTTACTATGCGACTCGAAGATTTGCATTTATATGCATATTTTATAACAGCATTCCAGTTTTAACTGCAGTTACCGTTGCACTTTATGATTTAGCTGTAATTATATTCCCGCTAAGAACGCCTCATTTGGATACGGATAAGGAATTACGAACTGATTTGCATGTTATAGTTTTAAAACTACTGTATACAAACAATTATTATATTTGTAGTGCATGCAATTTTCTATCTCAGTTGTGAAACAATTATATGTAATAATAATTTGCATTTTTAGGCTTTCATACACAACTGATCAGTTGATCAGCTGAATGAAGTGGAAACCCATATCTGTACTATATACTTAGTCTCAGGAATTTTAGGCCGTCATAATTTTCAATTGATAACAAATTTAGCTGAATTTAGTGAAAAATGTATCCACAATGCGGCTATTTTAGGCATACTATAGTTCTCAAAATAATATTTATTTTAAAGGTAAGAAAGCTAGCTAGAGAATTTTCATATAAGCCATCAGGTATTTTTTCCACGATTTATAAATTGGTTAAACTCACTGCATAAAATTTAGATTCGTTGCGGACGGTTATAAGTTCCAGATTTGGTTATAAGTTGCAGTTGAGGGCAGTTATAATTTGCTCATTGGCAAACAAAAACATGCATTGACCCATTCTTTTTAAAAAAGACCTTTTCTAGCGGAGAAAAATATAATGGACAATCCCATTTTAGTTTGGAACACGTTGACGTTTGTACTATAAGGATTAAGGTAGTCTGAATTTCAGATATCCCTATGTTTTGTATCAGTTATTTGTTCTGTATTGCCAGCAAATTTCAGACATCCTTATACTTGGACGCAAGTTGTAAGGGTGTCTGAATTTCGGATACCCTTTTATTTCGAAGCAAGATATATGGGTGTCTGAAATTCAGACACCCTTATATTTGGATGCAATATATATATAGGGATGTCTGAATTTCAGACATTCTTATACTTGGAAGCAAGTTATAAGGGTGTCCGAATTTCAGACTGTCTTAGATTTGGAACTGAACAAGATATAGGAGTCATGTTTCGCTCGCTACTCTGGTTTAAATAAATGATTACAAAGCCCAGTCGAATTGTAATCAAGACCCAACGTTTCGACACTCCAGTCTAGTGTCTTCATCAGGGGTGATCTGAAACTGCGATCGTGGCTTCTTAAATACCCAAGGGATGACGTCACCTGCCAAGAAGATGCATATATTCTTCTGGCAAATAGGCGCCGTCATCCCTATTCAAAGCATGATGACTCATATTTATATGCCACGCTTCTAGGCAAAGTCTTTGGCCATAGCGATTGTTTGTGGTAATTACTTTAGAGTTTTCCCACGCAATCTCGTGTTTGGTGTAACATACATGTTCGGCTAAAGCTGATTTTCCCTTGTCTAAAGTTGAAACAGCCTTTTGATGTTCTTTTAGCCGTGTACCAAACTGGCGTTTAGACTGACCCAAATACTCTATACGCATGGTATAGAATATATAGCATAAGTCTTCTGATTTTTTTCAACAGGATCTTTTGGCTTTGCGAAAATATGGCCTAAGGTCAAATAGGGTTTTAAGGCAACCTTAATATTACAATTACTTAAGATTCTCTTGATTGGTTCTGTGACACCTTGAATGTATGGAACTATTGCAAAACCCTTAACAGAGGTATCACCCTCGGAGTTATTTTGGTTCCTACAAACAGGTGGTCTCAGGCAATCATTAAGAAAACGCTTTGGGTAATTGTTTTCCCCTAAAACATTTAGAACATATTCACGTTCATTAGCTTGAGAATCACTGTTTGACGGCAACGATTCAGCTCTTTGAAGCAAAGTTTTTGCTACGGATCTTTTATGGCTTACTGGGTGATGAGAGTCGTATGACAAGTATTTGTCTGTGTGTGTGGGTTTGCGATAAACATCAGTCTCTAACTTCCCTTCGACAGTTATGTGTACATTCAAATCTAAAAAAGCTAAATGTCCATTTATTTCACGTTCTACCGTGAATTGGATGGACGGCTCAATAGAATTTAAATGTTGCAGCAGAATATCGATCTCATTTGTAGAAACCGCAGAGATGACATCATCGACGAAACGTTTCCAAAACGATAGGGACACCGGAACAGAGGCTAAAGCTCTTTGTTCGACATCTTCCATTACTAAATTAGCAATTACTGCCGAAACTGGTGACCCCATCGCTGTTCCAAAAACCTGTTGATAATAACAGCCCTCAAACACAAAGTATGTGGCGTTGAGACAAAAAGACAGAAGATCAATAATATCTTCTACAGGCAAGGATGTTCTTTGTAACAAAGTGGCATCCTGTCTTAGTCTTTTTGCCGCAACCTTGATGGCAAGATCAACTGGGATATTTGTAAACAAGGAAACGACATCAAATGGTATCATTTGATGTCGTTTCCTTGTTTACAAATATCCCAGTTGATATATATAAAAAATAAATATCCCAGTATTTTGTGTTTGAGGGCTGTTATTATCAACAGGTTTTTGGAACAGCGATGGGGTCACCAGTTTCGGCAGTAATTGCTAATTTAGTAATGGAAGATGTCGAACAAAGAGCTTTAGCCTCTGTTCCGG